ATATGGATGGATAGATAAATACATGAAAGGAGGGAGGGAGGGAGAAAGAAAAAAAAGGAGAGGAAGGAAGGACATAAACCCTGGCTTCAGAAGACTTTGAAGCAGCACAGCAATCTAGGGCTGGCCTGCAAGGGATCTCAGAGGTCATCTAGTCCAACTCCCTGCTCCAGCAGGAGATCCTTACATAATCAAAGAATAGCAGGGTTAGAAGTGTGTGTGTGTGTGTGTGTGTGTGTGGCTATCAAAACACCAAAAACAGGCTAAGTAGCTCTGTGGAGGCCAGTCATAAATTAGAACACTTGCTAAGCAACTGGTCATTAAGCGAGAACCTGGTCATTAAGCGAGGACCACTTACATTTGGTTTGCCAGTTGCATGGCCACCTGTCCAGGCCTTGCCCTGCCCTCTCCAGGGCTTCCCAGGCCTTGGAAACTGGCAAAAAACACTTGCTAAGCAACTGGCCATTAAGAGAGGACCTGGTCATTAAGCAAGGACCACTTACATTTGGTTTGCCAGTCACATGGCCAGCTGGCCACGCCCAGTCAGCAAGCCACTCCCACCCATCATATGGCCACCAAGCCACACCCACTAATTTGGCCACGTGCACAGAACCGGTTGTTAAGAAATTTGAATCCCACCCCTGAACATAGGGGATAAGATAGGCATTGTTTAATGTTAGTGCAGGGAAGGGGAAAAAATCAATTGCATATTCAGCAGAAGCAGAAATGGCAATAATCCCCAGCCTTGATGAACATGGAAAGTGACCTATCAGAGTTTAACCAAGGAGAGATGTATTTGGAAAAAATGATATGTCATTTACACTGGGATTATCTTTCTTACTAATATGTTGATGGAGACTTTCAGTCATACAAGTAGAATTGTCTGGAAGTTGACCTATGGTAATTGGTCTTTTTTTTGTTTGTTTGAAAATTTTTGCTGTTTATCCAAGTAGCTTCTTCAGTCTGAAAATTGGATAAGCAGCAAAACATTTCAAACCAAAAAAGAAAAGAAGTTCAGGTGCTATGACTCAACTTTCAGACTTTCTTAGTAATACAAAGGGAATATACACATATTTTCTTCTTATATAGCATCTTCTTATAGCTATTTCAGTGTTGTAGAGAAGCAGAGAATCACACAAAACTGGATATTCTTTAGTAAACTGGTACATCACGTGTCAGATTCTTGTGCATTTTCATTTTTGTACGAAAAAAAAAGTAATAAGAGAGAAAAATAATTAAATACACCCTGCTTGTGTTATACTGTATTTCAGTATGGACTGATGTAATAAAATCAGAGCAACTTTTTTAGTACAAAGAAAGGAATGCAACATTCTGAAAAATCTACTACAGAATTAGTAGATTGCTGTTGTTTAGCAAGCCACAGTGCTTGCAAGGGCATATTTCTTTTTTAAAAAAACCTTAACCTTAGAGTTAAATCAAGCTAGATCAATATTGAAGCAAAGGAGCTTTAATATAGAAGGTGAAACAAAAATGGCTGCTTTCTCTCACAATATAATTGCAAAGATTATTAGTGTCTAAATAGCCCCACTTTATATCGTATCGAATTTCCCAAATTTAGGATATTTTATCCATAGCTTAATATTCTCTCCACAGTTGTCCTGGAAGGGAAATATAGGAAAATTCCACATGAAACCCAATATTGTACCCTATAATGCAGGTACTATAGAAACCACAGCCCATGTTTTTCTGTTTTGCCAGTCCTATGGAGACATTCATCATCAGTTGATTACCCTACTTTTATTCAAATATCCAAGGCACTTGATAGCTTTTATCTGAGCTATCTGTTAAATAATCAAGATAAATTCATTTCTTTAAAAGTAACAAAATTTAGCTAAATTATGTGTAATCTTCACGCATAAATGGTTCCTGATAGCTCTTATTGCTAGGAATGGTTTTGTGTTGCTCATTTTATTGATTGTATTTTTAATGGTCAATGAATGAAATAAACTCTCGTCAGAATTTTAAGCAAGATGTAAACCTTTCATATAGCTGTTTAAAAACTATTTAAATGGCAGATCTATTGATCATGAGAACACTTTTGAGATAACTACTGGAATTATGAGATCCATATGCCACTGAACGTAAAATGGGTATATTAGCAACACATGGGCTACAGAATGCTATTTCCACATCAGAACATAGACAAAACCTGATATGTATGCAATCTTAATGGCACAGCAGTTCGTGTGAGGAATGTAAGATTATGGAGTAAATATTTAATGATAGTCCCAGAGGTGATGTTAAAAATTGTCCTGTTAGATGGAACAAAAACTCACGCTCTATCATTTTTTAAAATTTCTTGATCCCAAATCTAAGATTTTTAGGTTCTTATCTTCCCCAAAGAGACCAATTAAATATGATCTAGTGTATAGGGGCTTTTCTATTGCAGCAATGCCTATCGTTGATCCTGATAAAATCTTTGGAAAAATAATACATCAACAAAGTATTATAACAAAGTTTTCTTTAGCATAAGGTGCTTTTCCATCATTACCAACCACATTTACCTGGACAAACACAGAGAAATCAAATCTGCCAGCACCTGCTACCTTTTCATGTATTTTACCAGTGATAAGAGAAATACATGGAGTTAGTTTTATTACTATTGTTTGTAGCTGTAGCACGCTGAAAGGTGATACCGATCCCATTATATTTCAATGATGACTTCAGTGAGGTGGTGGCTTTTGTGCTTTTCCCCACTGACAATAGAAAATATCAGGCACAGAGAACTTTAAAAAGGAAGCTGCAAAGCAGAGTCAGTCAGCAACTGAAAGAAGTGCATGACTTGAAAATTTGTGTGAGCAGTTTCAGTTGCATTGCCTGAATATAAATCAGTTCCATGAAAATGGCATCCTTTTCTAGGAGCATAGAAATGGACTGACCTGTCTACTCAAGCATTATCCTGACTAAAGCATCCTTACAGGAGAGGGAAGCTCTCCTTCAACGCATTCAGAAATGGCAGACCCATCATCTCATAAGAAAATTGGCTCCACCATAAAACTGCTTCTGCTCTTTAAAGCCAAAGGTGTCATTACCTAGAAATTCTGATAGAGACAGATTTAAGGGAAGGCATCAGGTAATGGAATGATGAATTAGGATTATATAAGGCGTGACAATCAGTCCTTCCTTTTCATTCGATATCCAATATTCGATATGAATCAGAAGTAGTGATTATCCATCAAAGGCAAGGAAGTGTATGAGGATTGCTACATCTTACCAAAGTCTTCACTCCAGTTCACTCTTTGAGCGGGAGCTGGAGCTGTCCCTGATTGGCTGATTCCGTTTGACAGCTCAGTATAAAAGGAGTTGTGAAACAGAATCAGCTGTTCTCTGCCAGCCGGCTGCCTGGTTAGCTTGTGGCATGGCACGGCTGTGTTACTTTATTCCAAATAAAGCCTGTTAGCCTTCACTTAGCCTCTGCCTCTTTAACTCTCATGCGCCAAACTTAAAACTGGTAATGAAGGTGGGATGTTAGCGCAGTGAGGCAATTCTGAGGCAAAAAGAGCTGAACTAACAAGGCTGAAGTCACTGAGCTGAAGCACTGTCTGAGCGGTCACTAAGCCATTTCAGATGGTGGTGGCACCTAACTTTCCTCCCTTCCACCTGGCTACTAAACCTGGATGTCCTACATAAACCGTTTCGAGTGCGTGATAGACACTGCCAACTTGACAGAGATCCCCACGAACAGGAAGAAGGCTTACTTCCTCAGCTTCTGCGAAGCCACCATCTTTGACACCACCATCGACCTGTTAGCTCCCCAGACCATAAAAGCTGTCACCTGGGAAGAGCTGCAAGAAGTTCTCAGCAACCACTATGTGCTGAAACCGTCCCGCAGAGCCCACCGTCATGCCTTCCAAAGAAGAAGCCAAGCGGAGGGAGAATCCATCAGTAATACATGGCTGCCCTCAGATTGGCTGCCCTTCACTGTGGATTCAGAGACCTGGACAACATGCTGCTGGATCAGCTAGTCTGTGCTGTTAGAGACCTCCGGTTACAGGGATGTCTCTTAGCCAAAGCTGATCTATGCCTGAAACAAGCCATTGAAGAAGCACAAGCCACGGAAATGTCAACACTTTCCGTGGCAGAAATCCAAGGCTCCGGCAGCTACCCAAGTGAAAGGACCAATGCTGCTGTCCACTATGAAGAAACCAACAGCGCAGACTTCTGTGAGGGTGAAGAAGATGTAAATCGCCTGAAGGGGCCTCAGCCAGCCCAACACAGAAGCAACCCAGATAAGAGAAGACAGATCACACCACAAGTCATCTGCCTAAGCTGTGGAGGCAGTCATCCCAGAGCCACTTGCCGCTTCAGAAATATGATCTGCTTCAAGTGCCAGAGAAAAGGATATCTAGCAAGAATCTGCCAAGCTGGAAAAAGTCTGAACCAGCAAGCTCCCTACCAACCTCAGATAAAAAACTTTAAGACTAAAGAGGACTGCTTTACCATTAATAAAACATGGCCTAGAGCTGAGTCACTATTTAACCAAACTTGCTTTAACATAAACAAAATTAATGTTGATGTTCTCTTAGAAGGTAAACCCTGCAAGATGGAGGTAGACCACCAGTTCCACCCTCTCCATACTGTCCTGGGACATCCTGAAGCACCTAGTTGCTGACATCTCTA